GCCTTCAGAGACCGGAAGCAGCACTGAGGCCTGGGGGCAGGAGGGGCCTTCGCAGGGAAGACAGTTGTGTGTGAGACCCAGAGGGCATTGGTGGCACAAGCGGGTGGAACCATCACCAACAAGGACACCCACAGCACACCCAGGCCAGGTGGCCCCCACACGGTGTGTTCCCCGCTCATCATCCTGGCCGCTGGAGCAGGGATGACTGAGACTCCCATTTTGTGAATGAGGTCAACTGTGCCCCATGCCCTGGCTGCCCCTGTGGCAAGGGCCCCCAGCTTGTCCCCACTCACCAATGAAGGTGGATCCGCCCAGGCTGAAATTCCACGGTTCTTGGGGTCACAGGCCTTTTGAGAAACTGGTCCACCTCCTCAGACACACACACACCCAGACACACAAACACATACACACAGTGCTGTCGCCCAGGCCCCATGAAGTCCCCCTACCAGGGTGAACCCAGCTCCGGCTGGAGAGTCCCCTGCTAACACAGGCACAGAGTGGGACTAGACACGGAACTTTACTCTAAATCAGCTTCCTTGGACAACAATGACACAGACTGTCTCGGGAGGCGGCGAGCCCCCACCACTGCGGGTGTTCAAGTAGGTGGGGGACCGGGCCTGCCAGGCCTGTCCCTCACCAGGCAGACACTGGTCCCAGTGTGTCTGACGCTGGAGGATCCCACAGACAAGGCCTCCCATGGGCTGTGTCTTCCAGGCAGGAGGGGAACCCGGGTAAAGGCAGGCATACCTGCCCTTAGGGGTAGTCCACAGTGCCCAGCAACCCAGTAAACCCTTCCCCACTACAGCTGGAGATCCCAGCGGGGAGCCCTGGCCAGCCCAGGGGAGGGAGGCAGGAAACCCTGGGTACAAAAGCCCTAGCTCTGCCCTGCTTCTCCCCAAACTGGAAAGACCACATTTCACCACAGTTTACACTCTCGGCTGTTCAGGTGCATTCTTCAAAGGCCAGAGATGGAGGTGTTTTTTAATTTCCTGTGCTTTTCCCAACCCACACTGGGGGAGGCCGGGAGAGCCGGGCAGCAGCGGCAGGCCCCGGGGACATCTGTGGGCACAGCCAGGGCGAGGCCCGTCGTGGCAGGCAGGCTCCTTCCAGGAGCCGCTTTGGCTTCTAAGACACTTAGAAACAACCACACACTCAATTTCTAAGTTTAAGAGGAACCCACATCGCTCTCCCACCACCTGGGGAGCCGGCTTTCCTTTGGAAGGACCTGGCAGTGGCCCCAGGGTCCACAGCAAGTAGGAGGGCTCTGTGTGGGTGGCCCCTGCCCTTCCCCAGAAGGCAGAGATGGCACCTCCTCTTCTGCTCCTGCTCCTGCCCACCAGGGCCTGTGGAGCTCTAGGTGATGGGGGCATCCTCTGAGGGGCCCCATGCCAAGGCCCTACAGCCCCCTCTTCTCCAAAGAGGAAAGAAACCCAGACAAAGAAAACCCAGCCTTTGGTGGGGAGAGGGGAGAACATGGCAGGAGCAGAACCCGATGGGAGGGAGAGAGAAGAGCAGAGCAGCTGGCTCGGTAGCTCACACCTATAATCCCAGCACTGGCTGAGGAGAGAGGATCATCTCAGGCCAGGAGTTCAAGACCAGCCTGGGCAACATAGCAAGACCACATCTCTACAAAAACTTCTTTTAAAGCTTAAAAGAAAAAAAAAAAAAGCGAAGAGGACAGTTCAGGAGAGAAGCCTGTAAAAGCAGCACACTAAGGAAGAGATGCAGCCCAGGCAGCAGGAGGGGCTGGCTGGCCACGGGCACTCACTCCTCCAGCAGGCGAGCGCCCAGCACCAGCTGGCCCACCCAGGCACCCAAGACACGGGCCTGAATGGCTCCGTATTCCTGTGGGTGGTAATAAACAAGCAATAAACATAGCCAATAAGGACACCTTACTAATGTTACATCATAAATGCTGCGGATCAGGGCAACAGTGCAGGGTCAAGTGGGTCGGGCAGTTGCATGCTACATGAGACAGTCAGGGCAGGCCTTGCTAGGAGAGAAGGAGCCGGCAGGCCTGGGCAAAGGTCCCGGGGTGGGAGCACACTGGAGCAGAGCGTGGGGGGGTCATGGCAGGTGCTGGTCCTCTGGGCTCCTTCCCACATGATGTGCCCATGTGGCCAAAGGCTCTCATTTCACAGCCCCCTGCAGATCAGGGGTCACAGCTACACAGCCCCCAGATACCATCAGAAAAGTGCCTCGGCCTGCTCCAGGTCATTCCATCCAGTGATGACCTGCTGACCTCTAGCCTGAGCTCTGGGCAGTGTAATTCCAGGAGGAGGAGAAAGGAAGGCAACAGACCTGGGGCGATGACGGATGCACAGGCTGCAGCAGACACCTGAGGCTGCACCTTGGAGCCTCAGTTCTGGGTGTGGGTGGGGGACAGACAGGCTGACGGCTGAAGCAGCCCGCCCGGCCACCATCACACTCCAGGACCCACCAGATCACCATAAAAAACAGAAAGTCGTCTGCCAGCTCAGACTGCAAAACAAACCTTTCAGAAAACACGGTGGGAACTGTTGCATCATGAACATAAAATAATTACGCCCTCTCCCCAGGGATCACCCCTGCAGGAGTCTGTCCCAAGAAACACCAGAAAGAAGGAAAAAGTCTTAGTCACAATATTTGCTGAGGCCTTATTTGTAACAGCAAAAAAAAAAAAAAAAAACTGAACGATCTCCAGCAGCAGGGGTAACTAGACTATTGTCTCCATGGAAAGGTGGCACCAATTAAAGTAGTAAGAAAATGACTGCGGTAACCTCAAAAATGTTCGACGTGTCAAAACCAAAAACCACACACACAGCGTAACCGTGAACCATGATTTCTACTAGAATGAATGACAGTTATGAGAAAATGCCAGCGGAGATGAAGATTGAAAAAGGAAAGGTGGCCTCATTAGGGAGACGAGTCTCTGGCTAATATATTGGTAATACTGGTAAATACATACTTTTTAATGTATTTTTAAATTCCAAATTCCATGTATGCTCCTATGAAGCTATTTGTGCAAATATTTTTTTCAGGACCGTACATCACAAGGGCAAAAGGGCCAGGTCAGCTCTCCAGCTCACAGTGACCGCTTCAGAGCAGATGGCAGACTCCAGGGTTAGCAAGCCTGGCTGAGACCTGGCCCACGAGAATCCCTCAACCCCTCCGACCTCAACATCCTGTCTGTGAAATGGGGATAATTACCGCACCTCCACATCAGAGAGTGCGAGGCTTAAACAGGATGCTAAATAGAAAAGTGCTCAAGAGGTAACAGCCGGGGGGGGGAGGCGGGTAGTGGGTAGTGGTTTTCACTAATTAAATGTTGCCCTCATCCAGCCCCCAGCCAGCTCCAACACAAAGCACACACCATTGACTCTGACTCAGGTGCCTGGATTCAAAGCCCGGCCTGGCCTCCAGCTGTGAGATTCCGGGCAGGATTTCCCATCTCCCAGAGCCTCAGTTTCCTCATTCATGAAGCAGGAAGTGATCATTCCCTTTAGTTTCTTTTTATTTTGAGACGGAGTTTCACTCTTGTCGCCCAGGCTGGAGTGTGATGGCGCAATCTCGGCTCATTGCAACCTCGGCCTCCCAGTTTCAAGCGATTCTCCCGTCTCAGCCTCCTGAGTAGCTGGGATTACAGGCATGTGCCACCATACCCAGCTAATTTTGTATTTTTAGTAGAGACGGGATTTTGCCATGTTGGCCAGGCTGGTCTCGAACTCCTGACCTCAGGCGATCCACCCGCCTTGGCCTCCCAAAGTGCTGGGATTACAGGTGTGAGCCACTGAGCCCAGCTGACAACTGCTTTTAAAGACACCTCTGGCTGCTGTGGAAAACAGCCTGGTAGTGCCTCAAAAAGTTACACATAGAATGATCCTATGACCAGTAATTCCACTCCTACATATGTACCCAAAAGAACTGAACCCCTCTACTCATGTATGTACACATACAGGTACACGCATGTTAACAGCAGTGCTCACATAGCCAGACATGGGAACAGCTCAAATGTCCATAACTGATGAAAGCATAAATGAAACGTAGTCTATTCACCACCTGACGGAGGTCAGAGAGACCATAAAAAGGAATGATGCATAAAAAGGAATATTATGACCAGGTGCAGTGGCTCACGCCTGTAATCCCAGTACTTTGGGAGGCTGAGGTGGGCGGATCACGAGGTCAGGAGTTTGAGACCAGCCTGGCCAACACGGTGAAACTTCATCTCTACTAAAAATACAAAAATTAGCTGGGCATGGTGGAGGGCGCCTGTAATCCCAGCCACGCCGGAGGCTAAGGCAAGAGAATCCCTTGAACCCGGGAAACAGAGGTTGCAGTGAGCTGAGATTGCGCCACTGCACTCCAGCCTAGGCGACAGACCACAACTCTGTTTCCAAAAAAAAAAAAAAAAAATTAGCCAGGCGTGGTGGCAGGTGCATCCCTATAATCCCAGCTACTTGAGAGACGGAGGCAGGAGAATCGCTTGAACCCAGGAGGCGGAGGTTACAGTGAGCCAACATCCCATCACTATACTCCAGCCTGGGCAACAGAGTGAGACTCTGTCTCAAAAAAAAAAAAAAATCCAGCGAGTACTGTTGTTATGTGAACTTTATCCCAATGGAAATGCAGATAATTTGTTTAAAAGGCACCATGCACACTGGGCAGGCTGGCTTCCCTTGGGAGCGTCTTCTTTTGCCTGGATTCCCAGTTGGTTTAATTGGGCGTAGAACACCTTCTTCAACCCCGGATTCAGGCAGCCCTGCTCAGCACAAACTCGGTATACCCCGCGCTCTGCTGTGGGTTCTTGGCACTATTAGGAGAATGTGAGGGGGTGATTCAAGTCTATCTAGTGGGTGCATATCTGCCACTCCCAGGAATGCCCACTTCTGGCAAGTCAGTGTCAGAGAAAGGCCAGCTCGTGGCCCCTCCTGCCTTGAGTACCAGGACCCGTGATCAGTCCCCACCAGAGCAGAATCAGGAGTTTGAAAACCCAAGTGCCAGCAATCTCATTTTAACCCATGTAAGCATATCCAATATTTATATATAGAATTCGTAACAGATGTCTGGGCTTCCATTCCAATAGCCTATATTTTACACTGTTTATTTACATGGTTACACCAAACAAGACTCAATTCAAGGTAACCCAATCCTTTGCTACTATACCAAAATAAGCAACATTTTCAGTCCATGCCTTATTTATATTCACCAAGCATGACACTGGGCTTCCAACTGCTCATCGGAGCAAGCTGCAGCCTGGACACAAGCTAGAGATTAATCAGTCAGGAATGATCCTGCGTCCAGTGCCAGCACGATGGGAGAGACCGAGAAACAGAAGACATCAGGGCTCCAGAGTGAAGGAGCCCACAGGTTAGTTGGGCAGGATAGATATACACACACACGCACACTCGCACACACAAAACCACCCAAGAAGAAAAGGCGGTTTGAATGCATGGACAGGTAATGCCTGGAGTCTGGGGATGGATCAGCTGACTGCGGGTGGCCCAGGCAGGCTTCCTGGAGGAAGAAGACCTGGCTGTAGGTGGAGTAGGGAGGCTTCCTAGACAGGGAAGATCTGGCTGTGGGTGGAGTGGGCAGGCTTCCGAGAGGAGGAGGAGTTGACTATGGGAACACCTGGCTGTGGGTGAACCAGGCAGGCTTCCTGGAGGAGGAAGACCTGGCTGTGGGTGGACCAGGCAGGCTTCCTAGAGGAAGAAGACACAGCTGTGGGTGAACCAGGCAGGCTTCCTAGACGGGAAGAACTGGCTGTGGTTAGAGTGGGCAGGCTTCCTGGAGGAGGAAGACCTGGCTGTGGGCGAACCAGACAGGCTTCCTAGACAGGGGAAGAACTGGCTGTGGTTAGAGTGGGCAGGCTTCCAAGAAGAGGAAGACCTGGCTGTGGGTGGACCAGGCAGGCTTCCTGGAGGAGGAAGACCTGGCTGTGGGTGGACCAGGCAGGCTTCCTGGAGGAGGAAGACCTGGCTGTGGGTGGACCAGACAGGCTTCCTAGAAGGGAAGAACTGGCTGTGGTTAGAGTGGGCAGGCTTCCAAGAGGAGGAAGAGCTGACTGTGGGTAGACCTGGCTGTTGGTAGACTGGGCAGGCTTCCCGGAGGAGGAAGAGCTGGAGCATCGAAAAACAAACATGACTTGGAGAATGTTGAGCATGCCCAGGCCTGACCCGAAGATGCAATTATGCACTCAAATTACTTAATTCTACTCACAGTGCCTCACAAACAACTTCTCTGACACCTAACACAGCTCTGGGCACCTTCTAGCGTCAGCTCCTCAAAGCGGTGATTCACGCTACTACCCTGCACACCTCCTCACACCCCAACCCCAGGGACGGGAGTTCTGCCAGATGCCAAAGCTCCAGGTACGCCTGGGTCTGCTTCCGGGCTCCTCTTGGTCTAACTGTCCACCCCACGTCGGCATGACGTGCCGAAAACAAGGCTTTGCAATCTGCCCTGATGCCCGGGGAAGCAAAGCCCTCCCGATTCGTCTCCTTCAGAAACCCCTGGGCTGCCCGGGCCTGTTATACCCCCGACACATTAGACGGTCAGCTCCCCAAGTTCCACAAAGTTCAATGCTGGCGTTTTTATGGCATTTTATTTACAGTTTTTACAATATAAAAAAGGAAGGATGCCACAGCTCAGCCAGCAGGACAGAGAAATCTATGATGCTGCTGCTGCACTATTGTTTGTGGTCAAGAAAGTCTGGTTTCAATCATTTATTAAATTGTGGTGGGAGATGGATGGTGGCAGTGGTTACCAGCAACATGAATGTTCTTAATGCCACTGAACTTCACACTTACAAATAGTTACAACGATAAGTGTTATATGTATTTTACCACAATTAAAAACAGGTAAATGCAGCTCGGGTGCAGCGGCTCACAACTGTAATCCCAGCACTTTGGGAGGCCAAGCAGGCGGATCACCTGACGTCAGGAGTTCGAGACCAGCCTGGCCAACATGATGAAACCCTGTCTCTTCTAAAAATACAAAAATTAGCCAGACATGGTGGCACATAACTGTAATCCCAGCTTCTTGGGAGGCTGAGGCAGGAAAATAGCTTGAAACCAGGAAGCAGAGGTTGCAGTGAGCTGATTCTGCCACTGCACTCCAACCTGGGTGACAAAAGCAAAACTCTATCTCAAAAAATAAAATATATTAAAAAAAAAGGTAAATGTAAATGTATAGTATAGTAACATTATGGGCTATTACAAGCTACAAAAACGAATGACTTGGAACTACAGTTACAGCCCTCATTCAGGAGTTTGTTTTAAATGTGGGTTGGTCGCTAAGGCATATACAAAACATTTTGATGTTCAAATATTCCTAGACTTGGACAGTGAGCGCCCCTCTAAGCTAGCTCTTGTGTCCTAGAGGTCCCCACCAGTCCTCCAGAACTTCTTTGCTTTCTTACACAATAAGATGCCGCACGCTCAGCTTGTACCTCTCCTTGCCCCAGCCCTAGAACCAGCTTCTTCGTGGACAAGCTCTGGCTCCTCTGGGTGGAGAATGGTATTCAGAAACCCAGACCTGGGTGCTGGTGCACTCACTGCTACTTGGGGTCACTGCTTCTAGGCCTCTTTGCTGAAGGAGGTAGGAAATACATGTACAGTCCTCCTTCCCAGATTCCACACTTGAGCTCGCCTACTCGCTAACATTTATTTATATCTCCCAAATCAAACCTCGCAGTACTTCTGCAATCATTCACAGACTTGCAGAGTGTGAAAAAACTGAGTCACCACCACATGTTCCAAACTGAGGTCAACCAAGGCCACAACGCCCCATCTTCTTGCTCCGACTGTCGAGATGTAAGCAAGTGTCCTTCCCTCGGTCTCACTAGTGCCATGCTTTGCACATCATTGTGCTTTTTGTGGGCAATTTTGCTGTGTAAAATGTCCCCTGTACATATGCTGAAGTGCTGTGTAGTGCTCCTAGGTGCATGAGGCTGCCCCATGCCTTACAAAGAGAATATGCGTTAGAGGCTTTATTCAGGTATGAGCTACCGTGTAGTTGGCCATGAATTCACTGTTAATGAATCAACAATATACAGTAAATAAAGGGCTTTTTAGAGACAGGGTCTCACTCTGCCACCCAGGCTTTAGAGTCCAGTGGTGTGACCTTGGCTCACTGCAGCCTCAACCTCCAGGGCTCAAGTGATCTTCCCACCTCAGCCTCCCAAAGTGCTGGGATTACAAGCATGAGCCACTGCCCTCAGCCTAAGGTGTCTTTAAACAGAAACACACATAACACAAGGTTACAGGCTGAGTGCGATGGCTCATGCCTGTAATCCCAACACTTTGGGAGGCCGAGGTAGGAGGATCACTTGAGGTCAGGAGTTTGAGACCAGCCTGGGCAACACGGCAAGACCTTGACTGTATATTTTTTTAAATAAGACAGGCGTGGTGGTGCATGCCTGTGGTCCCAGCTACTCGGGAGGCTGAGGTAGGAAAATGGCCTGAGCCCAGGAGGTCAAGGTTGCAGTGACCCATGATTGTACCACTGCATTCCAGCCTGGGGTGACAGAGCAAGACACTGTCTTTAAAAACAAACAAACAAACAAACAAAAAAACGGCCGGGCGCGGTGGCTCAAGCCTGTAATCCCAGCACTTTGAGAGGCCGAGATGGGCGGATCACAAGGTCAGGAGATCGAGACCATCCTGGCTAACACGGTGAAACCCCGTCTCTACTAAAACATATAAAAAACTAGCTGGGTGCGGTGGCGAGCGCCTGTAGTCCCAGCTACTTGGGAGGCTGAGGCAGGAGAATGGCGTGAACCCGGGAGGCGGAGCTTGCAGTGAGCTGAGAGATCCAGCCACTGCACTCCAGCCCGGGTGACAGAGCAAGACTCCATCTCAAAAAAAAAAAAGACAAGGTCACGTATTGATCAGTTGGCAAAAACGCTGTGACCCGAGGCTAACAGGAGCCTAGCCCTAGGATTCCCCTAGGAGCAATGGTTCAGTATTCAATAATTCAGGGTTCACAGTGACTTTATAGAGCATAACTTGCAAGAATAACAAGAACCAACTGTACGCGTGTATGTATACTCACACTTTTATTTTATATTTTTTCAGACAGAGTCTCACTCTGTCACCCAGGCTGGTGTAAAATGGTGCAATTTTGACTCACTGCAACCTCCACCTCCCAGGTTCAAGTGATCCTCAGCCTCCCAAGTAGCTGGGATTACAGGTTTGTGCCCCCACAACCGGCTAATTTCTGTATGTTTAGTAGAGATGGAGTTTCGCCTTGTTAGACAGGCTGGTCTCAAACTCCTAACCTCAAGTGATCCACCCATCTCGGCCTCCCAAAGTGCTGGGATTATAGGCACGAGCCGCCGTGCCCAGCCTACTACACTTTTATACACACATGCATCTGTGACTATTTCTCTATTTCTGTGCAGGTGTGTGTGGCAGTACCCACAGTCTCAGCCAGACAGTGTCTGGGTACTGTCTAGTCCGCGTTTGTAAGCACCTTCCCCGAAGTGCAAAGCCTGGCTTGTGTTACTGTCCATACGTTTACTTATTTGCTCAATCAATTTACTTATTGGCTCCATAACCAGCTTCCCATCTGCTCCAGTAGCCTCTGCTGTCAGTCACCTCTGCACCCTACCCCACCCTGCTTCCGGATGCTGGGTGCCAATCACCCCCGACACCTCTACATAGCAACCCCCTCTCGACACTCTGCTTCTTTATTTGGTATGTATGTATGTATGTATGTATGTATGTATGTATGTATGTATTTGAGATGGAGTCTTACTCTGTTGCCCAGGCTGGAGTACAGTGGCACGATCCAGGCTCACTGCAATCTCTGCCTCCCGGGTCCAAGGGATTCCCCTGCCTCAGCTTCTCAAGTAGCTGGGATTACAGGCGCCCGCTACCATGCCCGGCTAATTTTTGTATTTTTAGTAGAGACAGGGTTTCACCACGTTGGCCAGGCTGGTCTCGAACTCCTGACTTCAAGTGATCCACCCGCCTTGGCCTCCCAAAGTGCTGGGATTATAGGTGTGACCTACCGCCCCTGGCCTGCTTCTTTAAATGCCAGACACCAACATTTGTGCAGTGTGGCGGGAGGAAAGAATAGGGAGAAGAGCGCACTGCCGGCCCCTGCACTGAATCTGGGGGCAACTGCCATCTCCAGCTCCTGTCTTCCTATCCGTGAACATCTACTGCAGTCCTCTCTAACGTCCTTCTGTAAAGCTGTATTATGTTTTGCATACAGGCCTTGCACATTCGTTCTCAGATATAATCCACGTACTTTAGATAAAATTCAAACCATATTTTAAAAAATAAAACCAGCATGACTATAACAGAGTCTGCAACATTCTCACAGACTTTATGATAAAACATAAAACTTCAGAGATACTTAGGGTGGGGCAGGGACAATGTTGAAGGCTGCCTGGAAGCCTCTCCATCCCTGAGCCAGAATGTCCCATCTCCCCTTCAAGAGGAAATGTTTGAAAAAGCACTGATCTGGCTAAAAATGATGGGGACCAGGGAGAAATCTGCGTGACTGTCAAAAGCACAAGTGAGCCGGTCTCCTCCATTCTGAGCACAGCCAAGTTCAGTCTCTCCAAGTCCAAGTAGCATATACCTGTTTGCCAAGAATAAAGTCCAGGTGTCTACAAGTGGCTGAAAATATTCACTGCTGGGCCATTAACAACATTCTTGGCAAAATCATACCTTAGCTTCTCGTGGAAATTTCTTAAGGTAGAAGAAACAGGAAACACCCAGACTCGCTTTTATGTAGACAGTTCCATGAAGCTAGGGCCTATCCCCACACCCACGTTTCAATCCTCTGCACGCAGCTCACAGCGCGTTCAACATCTACGCGTCTCTCCTACTGGGGTGGAGGTGGCCACTGAAACCCTCATGCAGCTACGACGACCGCAGTTTTGGCAACACAATTTCATGTTTTTCCTTGGGCTTTTACCCAAGTCGGTGACACAATTCTGCAGTTGTCTAAAGATTCAAAATGAGGGACTTGACATTGACAACAATAATAAAATCTTGGGTTTCCTTTAACCAAGCACATGTTCTGCCTTTTATAGGAAGCTCTGCAAACTCAAGCTGGAGTGGGATACTTGCTGACATCTTCATGCACCCCAGGAATAGCTCTGCTCCCCCACTTCCACCTTGCCTCAACTATCTATATCCCACCAATTCCCCCAACATCCCTCCATCTGTCCATCCATCCACCCAAGGACCCGCTAAGCCAGGAGGTCTCTCCTATCTCAGCCCCCAAGGGCTCTCTCTACATGAACCCCACCCCACAAGAGTAGACCAAGTCTCCGGTAGACCCCACCTTGACCACCTCCTTGCCTCTAGCCGTTCCCACCCCCTAAAAACCCTCCCTGGTCTCCACACCCAGCTGATGAATACTTGGCTGAATGTGACCTGGCCTCCGGTATCCAGGTGAAGCCCACGTCCTCCGTGAGCCCGCCAGCTTACGCTGCCTCTGCACCTTCACTGGAGAGAGCCTGCACCTCACCTCCTCAGGGCAGGCATGGCTGATGCCACCCAGTGGAACCTGGTGCAGAGCAGGGCCTGGCGCAGAGCAGGGCTGTCTGCAGAGCAAGGCCCGGGTGCTCAGGTTGAGCACCTCCAGTGCTGGCAGTGGACCATCCCTCCCATTCCAGGTGCTGTCTCCATCAACGGCGAGTAAGCTACTGACATTTGCATGACAATAATGAATAAATACCATCTTTTGCTTCAAATCCAGAATAGATGTGGCCAGGGTTGGCATATGACTGTTGGGAAAGGACAGTTTGCCTCTTCCCAAACCAACTTGGATTATAAAAAGCTTTTCTTACGACCACAAGAGCGGAGGAGCTCAGGGGCAGACAAAAGGCAGGCTGGCTGCAGAAGGCGGGACAGTGGGGCCTCAGGGGTGGATGGGGACAGAGAAAGCCTGGAGCTGCACCCCCAAGGTCTATGTACATCAGGTGCTGCAGAATAACACCACTTCCTCCAGCTTGGCCCCCACCTGCCCTCTCCCAGCCCAGTCACCCAGACAGCACCCCACTCGCCACACATACCTCACATCTGCCACCTCACACTCACCAGCCTGGACTCCCAATGCAACCTCGGCCTCTCAGCTCAGCCACCCCCATTCCTGTTGGCCCCTGGCCCCCCATCGAATTATCTCTAATCCTAACGCACACACTTGCACACTCAAACACACACACACATACAGCCTGGAGGAAAACCATAATTAACGGAGGTCCAGGCAAGTTTCCCGAGCAGGGACCACATTTCAAAGGTCAGGGAAGCAGGTGAACAGGAAACATACAGAGGGCACGTTTGGGGGTGGAGCAGGAAATAAGAAATCACTTGCAAAAGATAAAAAGAAAACGAGGTAGCTGGTTTCAGACACCTCTGAGCACACAGAACAGAACAGGCGCCTCCTGGTCTTCACTCAATGGAGAGATGGGCCAGGCAGGTCCCTGCTGCTCCACCGCAGAGCTGGGGGCGATGGCCCCGACACCAAGGCCCTGGGTCAGGCGGGGAGGCAGCTGTCCTCCTGCCTGTGCTCCTGGGCAGGGCCTGGCCCCACAAGGGAACTGGCCCAAGGCTCTGCTTGGCTACTCTGGAAAGTCCTGGGAGATAAGCAAAGGGCTTGCTACTTCCCTCCAAATGGCCCAGATGTGACAACTGTGAAGAAGTCACACCAAAGCAAGGTGACAGAACAGTGTTGGTGACGTCAGGTATCAGCTTAGGCACAACTCTGCTTACCCGGACTCACCCATAACCTGCCCTCTCTTCCCAACCAGTAAAGGATGCCTAGGTAGAGGGGGACAAGGCCTGGAGCATAATTACCATTTTAAAGGCTCTGAGAAGTCCTGCAGTGAGGAAGCCTAGTTCACTTTCTCTCCCCTAGGATTTCCCAGCTGCACCTGATCACAGAACATTTTTTTTGTTTCCACTCAGGAAACATATTTTGAAAAACACTGGCCTAGAGGCAGAAGTGAAATGGAAAACACCAAAGTAAAACTGAAGAGGAGTCGCTGGGCAGGGAATGGTCGGAGGCACCCTGAATCCTGGACCGATGGAGATCCCCAGCTCTGCATGGTCCCCTCCCTGGGCCCAGACCGCCTCCCCCCATTCCCGGATAAGAAGGCTAATGCGCACCAGGTGAAGGGCTTGCCTGGGCCACACCCCCGGGCTCGCCCCACACCAGTTGTGCTCCTGTGAGAACCAGTGACTTTCTTGATTTGGCTACTGCGGAATTGTTTGCAACTAACCACCCCAGATACAAATGACAAATGATCAGATATAAAGGACCCACGGGTCCCTGTGATACGGCTTCATGCAGCCAGCACGGCTAGTGCCCTGCAGAACAAGAATGACCCCAGGCAAGTCCTCGCCTCCCAGACCCAGAATCCCATGGAGCCCACCAGGGCTGGTTCACAAGCACTGTCTGGGTCGGGCAGAGATTCCAGCAAGAGGAGGGAACATCCGTGCACCAGAGCCAGTTACCAGAAGTAAATCACCTGTTCCAAAACCCAGGCTGTTAATGGAGTCCATTGTTGACCGGAGCTGGGGTCTAGCTACGGAATACTGCCCAGCAGAGATCCTCCTGACAGAAAGCACTTTTTCCCAAAAGCCATGGATCCTCCACTAACTGTGTTTTAATTGGGCGAACGTCTGTATCTCATTGCAGTGGCTGTGCACATGCTGACAAGGGGCTGGGGGCGGGGTGGGGAGCAGAAGCTCAGGGGCCTGGGAGGGAAGGAAACAGGCCACCAGGGCTCCCCAGAAGGCATGTGTCTCTCTCACAAACACACGCACGCACACACACGTGCACACATACTCTTCAAGTCCTGAGTTAGCAACTGTGGAATGTGACCAGCTCAGTGAGCCCAGGACAAGCTGCTAGGGAATATGACATTTGATTGATGTCTGCAAATGTGCGTTTTCACTAATTAGAAGGTTTAGGGCAGAGCAGAGAAAAATATGTATTTCAGAGTCCCAGTTTGACCTGCCAGAAACCAGCCCGTTACTAACATTCTTATTTTCAACAAAATATAGCATTCTGATTACATACCATCTTGGTTCCACGCCTCCTGCCTTGCCAAGCCCCCGGAAGTGGCCCAAGGCCATAGCAAATAGTGAGAGAAACAGTCCAGGGTGGAGACTGACTCAGGGGTGTCAGTCAGTGGGGGGCTGATGGCCGGTGGGAGGTCAGCAGTCATCACCCTCTCCTTGGGACAGTTGAGTAGCTCTCTCCCAGGGTCATGTGGCCACTCAGGTTCACATGGGAGGCAAGAGGAATGGCAGAGCCCAGGAGAGTGGCTCTGAAGTCACCATCCCCTCCAGGCCTCAGTGCCCTCACCCATTAAATGGGCACGCTGAGGTCTGGGATGACACGGAGGGCTTGCACTTACTGAAACCCATGGGAGGCTACTCGCTGATTTCTTTTATTGATGGAAGAAAACACTTGTAATTGAAGTAGCAATTAAGAGGCAGGCACTGGAACCACCGTCTGCCGATTCCTAGTTTTGCCTGCATGAAACCAAGCAAGTTAATTGACCTCTCCCAGCCTCAGTTTCTTCGTCTATAAAACTAGGGGAGGGATGGCCCACAGGGCAGCTGGAAGGATTAAAGAAATAAACATCTCTTAGAGCCCGCCTGGCACACTGTGATACACAACAAATGTTAGCTATTTTTATCTATGAAGTCTAGATTTTATATCATGGGTGTTCTAAAGCAGGATACATTTATTTAAAAACAAGGATTTTCATTAAACACATACCCCACAGAAAGCAACCCCATGGAGACTGCTCTTAATTCAGGCCAGTATTGAAACGACCCTCGACCCTAACTACAAGCTTTATACAGGTCTCTTGGCTGTCCTTCAAATCCAACTAAGGTGATACTTCTAAAGTACTGTGCATGTGTTGTGTGTGCACCCACACGTGTGGGAAGGGGGGGCTCACGGATCCCTCAGGTACCCCACCCATGCAGTCTTAAGTCACAAAGCGACAGACGGAGCAGCCAAGGAAGGTCTGTGCCCTGCTGGACTCTCGTGAAGCCACCAACTCTACCTCTGCACCACGTCCTGCAGACTGGGCTACCCTTTGGGTGGGGAACAGCATTTGATGCAAGAAAGGCAGACAGAAAAGGAAAAGGGCGAGTTCAACTCCAGGTAATGAAGACAGCACCAAGCCCCAGAGACCATAAATGCCATGCAGATGGAAACATTCACTGCAAGGCCACACGGCAAACTCAAGGATCCAGGGACAGAGGTGCAGACTGTGGTGCCCTGGAGCCTTGACCCTGCAAATTACCACCATGGGAAAGGAGGCTGCCGAACCCCCGACAATCCGCTGGGCTGGCACAGACTCGTGGTTTCCATCGAGGTGGGAGGAGGTGGGACGTCCCAGCCCCTCCTCCATGCCCACTGCAGAGGGAAGCGGCCGTTTCCCCTGTGTGGTTACAAAGATCTCATTGTTCTTCCCCACAGAGAGGAAACTGGAGGACTGAGCTCAGAATGCATTTTGGAATTGGCAGAAAAGAACATCTGGGGAAGGAAACACATTTCAGAAACAAACATACCTTTGTACCAGCTTTTATTTTCCTTAAGTGTTGAAAAAAATAATAATAATAAAGACATGCCAAATTTATCATCACTCTACAAAATCCCTTTATTGAGCAAAACGTGGCAGCTCTGCTTTCAAATGATCTACTGTTCCTGGAAAATTGCAGCAAGGTGGATGCCAAGGCCCAAAGGCCACCATCAGCAGCCAAACAAAAGACGCCACCTCGGGCTCCATGACACCGTCCCATGCCAGGGAACTAGACAGATTTGGGGAATGCCACGGTTTGCCTTTAACCCCTTGCCTCCTGGTCTCTTGATGTATCTCAGAGGCTAACATTCTTTGAGGAACTGGCACTTCTTAGTTGTAAATATGCATGTGGTTTTGGGAGCTACCTGCAAAGTCCAGTGTTGACGATCAGCTCTGATTGCCTTGGAATCAAGTTGAAGAGTCGGGTCTGGAAGTTAACAGGAACTTAGAGAAGCTGAGCACCACGGTTTTGCAGGCCCTGGGTGAACTCTTCCACCAGGCATTCATTGTGGACTGACAGCACGCAAGGGGCTCTGCAGGCAGGTGCCCAGGATGAAACAGATTCCGTCCGGGGGAAACCTGGAGGGAAGCTCCCTCTTTTTCCGAACGCGCCGGGCCTAGCTTCATGGGTCCGTACCCTCCATGCCTGTCACACTTTCTGAGTCTCGTGTGGGAGCTGCTTCTGGTTCCTGACTTCACTCAGTCCTCATAGGAGGTGGAACTACTGTCACCCCATTTTACAGATGGGGAGACTGGGCACAAGGGGACCAAGAAACCAATGCAAAGTCACACTTCGGTGATCAGTGACAGGGGAGATCAACGCCCAGGTTCTTTCGGCCAAGAGTTAAACTGTTTTCATGCTGCCTAAGCGGGGGCAACTGAAAGACCCCTGGGTATCTTTGCAAAAAGGGTCAAGCACAGGAGCCAGAGCCACTGGGTCAGATCTGCGGAGGCGCTGGGGTGACCTTCCCCATACCTGGAGGGATGCTTGTCCCCCCCTGGCCTTCACTGGGTCCCCTCAGGACTGTGGCCTCACAGGACCTCAGCACAATCCCGGTCCTGTGCTCCAGGACAAGCCCTCTGTCTCCAGGACGATGAGGAAATGGAACCAAGAGGGGCTCGCTTCCGCCCAGTACCCACATTGCCCTTTCTCAGGGAGCAAGAACTGTCCTGGAGAGGACTTGGCTTTGGAGGGGGAGCCTGGGAGGCCAGTGAGTCAACAAGCCTCTCCTGCTCATGGTGGGATCCCACCCCAGGCCCCCACCTGGTGGGGCAGGCAGGGATGGGCAGCACAGCTTGGCCAGGGCAGATAACCCCCACCTTGGCCAGGGCGAGGGTAGGACACGTGGGCTCCAGCCTGGCCCCACCATCCCTGCACAACACTGAGCAAAGTCCACGTTCTCCTCAACCGGGTGTTGACATCTGCAGGACAGGAGCATGGATGTACAGAGCGCTGAAGCCACACAGCAACCTAGGAGCGAGACTCCATGCCTCCCCGCGGACCCTCCCCTACCAGGAGGACCTTGCAGGCTTCCCGTGCGCTGCAAGGGCTCCAGTGTGGAGACACGTGTCTCCTACACAGCCAGGCCTAACGCTCGTGCAGCCGGGTCATCCCACCTGGGCTCACAGCTGGAGGGCCAGGAGCTTCGCGGGGTCTGCTGTCATCCCAGAGGTGATGGGGAGCCACAGCAGACTGTAGGAGACAGGGTGCCCCCCGCCCTCCACTTCAGAGGCCCCGTCTGGCCCACGGACTGGAGAGCATATCTCTCAGTAACCACGGAGCGCCAACTATGCACAGGGCCTGGTCGGCAGAGCGGGGCAAAGGCACTGACCATCCACGACCAGGGCGAGGGAAGCCAGGCGGGCAGGGACCTCAGGCAGAAGGGGAAGAACCTGGTGCCCAGGCTGGCCCTGCCTTCCACAGTGAAGCTGACTGGGGAGGCGCTGATGCAGGGGGCCAGAAAGGGCTGCTGGTCAGCCGGGAGGAGCCCCCCACAAAGGAAGCAGTCAGCCCAGATGCAGAAGGCAGGGTCCCCTCAACAATGTCCTCTGAAAAGGAGAGGCGGGGACTGCTCTGGCGACACCTTCAAATAGATGGTCAGCCCCCAGCCATACTTCTGACAAGGCAGAGGCCCCCAGGGGAGGGGCACCTGCACCTGTTTCCCCAGACCCCCAGAGCCCACCCAACCCCATCCCACCAGGGCTCCAGATACAAAATAAATGCCGAGGCCGGCTAGGCAAGGACGCACACTCGGTACCGACTGAACAGGCTCCACACCGTCAAGAGCGCAACCCACAGGCCACGCTATGCAGAGCCGAGATGGTTTCAGCCAAGCAGCCTTTCAGCCAAGCTGAGCAAGTCCACAGTCCCCAGGGGGTCCTCACCATGGAGCAGCAATTGCGATGCGATGGTAACCCTAACAGCTAACCGTCGCTGAGCCAGGCCCTGAGCCAGGTACTTTCCGACACCGCCTCTCTGCAGCCTCAGGACAAGCCTGGGGGAGCATAAAGATCACTCCCTATTACAGATGGGGAAACTGAGCCCCGGAGCAGTTAACATGCTTGTCCAAGACCGCAGAGCTAGAAGTGGGACAGAACAGCAGGTCAGGTGGGAACGGGTAAGGGGGGCCTGCATGGGCTTCTCTGGAGGCTTCGCAGACGCGCAACCCCCAGGGCCCCGACCCTGCAGCTCGCTGCGGCCCCCTCAGCTACTCCAGCAGACCTCGGGGTAAGGGAAGGAGGCTGGGAATACCTCGGGTGTCCGAAACAGCAGCTTCCGCTTGGAGGCCAGCGTTGCATAGTGGCCGCTGCCCAGCACACCCAAGTCACCTGTGCCACCTGCAGTGACCTTCCAGCATGCCTTGGTGACCAAGCTGGCCTTAGGTACTATGGGCAGCCAAGCCCAGAACAGGACCCAACCATCCTCTTCACACCAACACAAAGCAAGAGGGGGCATTTCAACTGAGCGCGTGGGGGGCACTTTGAGTGGGTCCCTCTTGCTCAAGGGCCTCATGGATTACAGGGGTCAGGGCGTGACCCAATTCTGCATTC